CCGTGTTCAGCAATGAGGGCACCATGTTGTGCCTTCTTCAGACCAGCCTTTTTAGGCTTCCTGCAGTCCTTAGCCATATGGTTCGGCTTTCCACAGTTGTGGCAATTTCCAATAAATTTCCACACTTTGGCAGGCTGCTGCTTCCCATTTGTTAAGGGGCTTCCTTTTGCTCGAGTTGCCTTGCTCCAGCAAGTTGGCACGAGCTTCTATCATCGGGGCCTTCCCCGAAGACTTCCGATTGTTTTCTTAAATCCGAAGACGAACAACCAGATCTTCAAGACTCATCTCCTTCCTCTTGTGCTTGAGGTAGTTCTTGAAGTCTTTCCAACCCGGCGGCAGTTTCTCGATCACAGCCGCAACTTGGAATGACTCGCTCAGAGACATTCCTTCAGCATGAATGTCGTGCAAGTTGAGTTGGAACTCTTGCACTTGAGACTCGACGGTCTTAGTGTCGACCATCTTGAACTCCAGAAATTTGCCGACGACGAATTTCTTCGCCCCAGCATCCTCAGTTTTGTATTTCTTCTCCAAGGCAGCCCAAAGCTCCTTGGCAGAGCCAACCGAGCTATACAAATTGTACAACTCGTTACTCAGTCCGTTGAGGACATAGTTCCGGCAAAGGTAATCACCTTGCCCCCAAGCATCGTATGCAGCTCTCAGCTCAGCATTCGATTCATTTTCAGCCACGACAGGAGGGTCGTCTTTCAGGTACTTCACCAAACCCAATGTGGTCTGGTAGAAGTGCATCTTCTGTTGCCACCTCTTGAAATCAAGCCCGTTGAATTTTTCGGGCTTCTCAGTAGTGGGAACATGAACAGCAGGTTGAGGATGAAGAACAGCGGGGGTGACCGGTGGTTGAGTTTTTGATCCTTCTCCAGTGGATGCCATCAGTTCAGTAGGTGTCGATATTTGTCTTGCGTTTGTCACACAATGTGTGTTTAAATTACAACGGGAACCTATAAACTGACTGAAGTGTTCAGTTCGTACAAAAGAACTAAAACAAAAAATTAAATTACAACTCGAACGCGGAGAGATTTGAGCCGAGGCGATTGAAATCTATCCGCAAGACAAATACGCCCCGTGTAGTGCTGACGGGTCAGTGCGTAATGTCCCCAAAGATACAACGGCTTTAACACTCGGAAGTTGTAGCACACCAGCCTTAAGAGTCCAGTCGAACAAGAATGAAGTCGAGAACCGAGAACTATGATATGATGCGTGAGGTTTTGAGAGTATCAGATTGCATGAAAATGTTGTATATTTTTCACTTGCAGCTCTAAGTCCTATTTATAGGACTTCCACATCTTGAGGGAAACCAGAAGTCATATCTGCCACTTAAGGCAGAGATAATGGGCATAAAACGTTTTCAGGTGTTAATTCACCATTAACCTGGAGTTATCACCATTAACTGGTAATCAACACCATTAACACAAGGTCAGGTGTTACATTTCACATGAAAGGTCATGTGTCCAGATCCATTGTACCTGGAGAGGTATCACTCGGGTTGAGTCAAAACCCGAGACCAAATCTAAATTGGATTTTTCAGTTGGGCCTAAAATTGCAAATAAATTTGCAGCAAAAAGATATATAGTGATTGGGCCCAAGGCCCAACCGCCCAAGGCCGCCCAAGTCCAGCCCAAAGTCCAATTGCCAAGAACCAAGGACCAAGGCCCAAGTCCCAGGTCCCAGTCCCAGGCCCAGGCCCGGGCCCGTGCCCGTGCCCGAGCCCGAGCCCGAGCTGACTCTTGACCCTTCAATTCCCACAACCAACGTTTTACGTGCCCTTTTATGGCTAACTTTAACAATTTATTTCTCACTCACCGAAAATCAGTTTTGAGAAAATAAATATACCACGAGTATCTACTCGGAACGTAAAATTTTTCTACAATATTTAATTCAACTTAAATTAAATATTTAGCCATAAAAAATTCAGTCAAAACTGGGTCAAACCCAAGTTTTATAACTGATTTTTCCAACATTAAATATCTTAGTTGGTTTTAATTTAATTAGTCATCTTGTATATATAGATAAACAACCAAATATTACTTTTAGAAAGAAACTAAGGTATCTATCAATAATATTAATTGAAAAACAAAAAAAAAATTATAATCAAATAAATTAATCTATCAAGTCTATCATATTATATAATGTATAAAATTATTATAATACATAACCAATATGTCATAGAATGACTAGTTAATCAATCATTACCATACTTTTTATGTAAATTTGCTATTATTATCTCATATATTTTTAACTACACATTCTAATTTTCAATCACATTATATTCAATTCCTACTCCTTGATATCACATTATTTTAAAGTATCCAAATAATTACTTCTTATTCCAATATTCTTTCTTCAAAATAAAAAAATATTCACTTAAACTCAAATTCAATTCCCCCTTCAACTTTAGATATAAATTTTTTTGGTTTTGTTTGGATTTTTTGGTTTGGTTTGGTTAATTTTGAAAAAGGTGGTATGGTTAGTTGTTAGTGAGTATATTAAAATAATATTTAAAATAAAATAATTAAAGTTGATTAGATTTAAAAAGTAAGAGAGAGAAGTTGAAGTGATGGTTAGTTAAAATTATGTGAGTGGATGAATAGTGAATTAAGGTTGATGTGATGTGTATAAATGATTGGTTGATATTATTTAATTATATGAAAATGTTGATGATAGTGAGGTTGAGTTAAAATTGAGTTAAAAAAAGTAGTTGAGTTAAAAATGATTGGGATTTTTTGAGATAATTTTGTATCCAAGCATCCTCTTAACTTTTTTCCCTTTTTCTTTATAAATATAAAAAAGTATATATAACTTCGAGAAATGTTATGGTCCCGTTACGAAACTATTCTGTCGAATTTTGTAACCATATTATCATGTAACTGCCAAATATAGTTGATCTAACGATTATAAATCTCGACGGGTTGATTTCGCGCAACGTGACCGTAACATCTTCCTATAACTCGACATATATAATCAATCACACCCTAAAGGCGCGTGGCGACACACCCCTCGACAGCCATAATTGAACCCTCACGAAGAAAGGTTGGCAAATACATGACAACTAATCCCATCCTTTTCCCTTTTCCTATATATATACTCACACTCACATTTTCTTTATTTTTTTTAAAAAGAAAAAACGAGTAGATATATAGCCGTTTGTGAATTTCCTCCCCCTTTGCTTCCCCCAAATTTTCCGTTTTCTCGCATTCGAAGTTCCGCAGACTCTCCCATGGCTGCCGATTCTCCAAAACCCTAGTGAAAAACGGTTTTTCTATGCCCTGCAAGCAGACAAATTTGCGATCCGTGGCCGGTTTTTGTTTTTCTCCGAAGTTTTTTGTAGCGGCGGTGGCCCGATGGACGACTCGCACTCTTCTTCTTCATCTTCATCTTCATCCTCCTACGGCTCCGCCATCGGACCCCCACAAGCGGTACGGTGAATGCGAGTTTCAGTTTTTGTCGAGCTTGCTCGAGTACGGATTTGAATGTGTTTTTTCTTTGACTTTTTTTCGATTTGGTGAAATTGTTGGGTTGTGGAGATGTATGTTGGAGTGTTCTCTTTTATGTGTCGTGTTATTCTGGAAGCTCTCTGTGGAGTGGGTTTCTTGTTTCTGTATTGCTTTATTGGTATGTGGTTGATCGAATTATAGAATTCAGGTGTTGAAAAAATCAGATTTTTTTTGTTTGGTTGATTTTCTTCTGCTAACAGTGAATTTGCTTTTGCAGTTACTCTTCAGAAATTATCATTAGTTTGATCACCTCCTCTGTGTTTGTTATAAATGAAAGGTGCAATCAGCAGGAAGTGTTTCTAAACTCCATTTACTGTCCTGATCTTTCCACATTTTATCCTCTTAAGAGTTTCAGTTCAGTCTATAATATTTCGTCCTATAATCGAGACTGCTTATCGATGTCCTTGACAAGGAGCATGCGGCATTGATGAGTAAATTATACTATTTTGGCAGTTTACCTGTAATTCGCCACTTTAGTGAATCAAACTTAACAGAAGTTTTGGGGAGAATGGATATTAGTGATTTTTTACTCCTTGGGGGGGAGCGTGAGTGTATTAAAATATGTGATTTTGCATATCAGTTCCCACTCGAGAAAAAATAAAAACATGAATAAATATGCAATCGAAGAATTCACTTTTCTCGTTCATGTGCTGCATTCAGGGTGTTGTGGGGAGTCGTTCATCTTCCCAAGGAATCTCCCCAGCAGTGTCTCGACAGTGGCGAGACCTATTCTGGTTGCTGATATTCATAGCTCATTTAGTCGTGGTAGGATTTGCCCTCTGTGTTTTTGGATTAAACAGGTTCAGAAAACCAGATAGGCTGAACATAGATAGATATACAATGGGGTTCCTTGAGAATAGAGCTGGTTTGACCGAAGACTACTGGCCATTGTATGCTGTTGCTGGTGGGGTTGGGGCAGTTTTGGGGTGGACTTGGCTATTGTTACTCGGCTCGCGTGGAAATCAAATGATGAAGTTCTCGGTGCACATTCTGACTACATATCTTGCCGTGATCAGTGTGCTATGCTTTTGGACCAAGCAGTTTTTCTGGGGAGTTTCCTTTGCTATTGGTGCTGCTCTGCAATTCTTGTATGTTATATCGGTCATTGACAGGTAAAGAATGTGACCTTGTTGTTAGTATTTATGTCTTGAATTCAGAGCACGTTTAAAAGGTGATGCATCTTTTGTAAGATATTAAATTTGACAGAATCCTTATGTTGGTCAAAATTCTCGATTCTGAATATGATCACAATTGGTGTTGAAGTTTCTATTTCTACTTCAATCATGATAAAGTTACAACTACCTAAGCAATTTGGCAGCGTTCAATAATCTGTTCTCCATCTACAAGTTGAAATATGTCCTACTCGAAATAATTGTGAACATACGCCGCATGTTAGATCTAGCTGTCACGTGCGCTTCAATGACTGGCTTCAGTTTTCACGTCCTTCGTCTTTTTTATAGGCTTCCATTCACCATGCTGGTCCTCCAAAGAGCTGTGAAGATGGTGTGGAGCCTTCCAGAAGTCACAAGAGTCGCATGCATATTTATGCTGGTGATGCTTTCATGGCTTGCTGTATGGTCTTTTGGCGTAGCCGGAGTTATAGCCCTAGGGATCGGTGATGGTGGCCGCTGGTGGCTTCTTTTGGTGAGCTGGCAAGTTTTTATTTATATATTTATTTTATTAAATCAACATCAAATATCTCTACTCGGGTGTTCGGTATAGTTACTATTATTACCCACTTGTTATTTTTAGAACATAAAACCCCACGAATTGTTGTGCCTTGCGCGTGACAGGTTTTGTCCGTGAGCTTGTTCTGGACGGGTGCCGTTCTCTGTAATGTTGTCCACGTAATAGTCTCAGGAATGGTCTTTCTTGTCCTTATTCACGGCGGCCGAGAGTCAGAGTCAATGCCCCCCAAGCCGGTGATGAGCTCCTTGCGTTATGCTGTAACCACTTCCTTCGGCAGCATATGCTACGGCTCGCTCTTTACGGCCGCTATACGAACTCTTCGGTGGGAGGTGAATTGTCAAAAGGATAGGATTTATTATTCATTACTGATAATTATATAAGATACCCTTGAATATTTCAGTCTGTTGTTATTTCTCAGCAACAAGGTAATTACAAAATCTAGCCTCAAGGGGTGGAAGGAATATTTACAGCTAGATGTGAAGTTCTAAATTTACTAAAAAATAAAAGAAGAAATCTCAAGAAAAATGATTTTATTGAATTTTATTTTTCTAAATTTTTAACAGCTGAGCATAATATTTCTATGAATGCAATCAATTAATCAGATACTTTCTTATGAAGTGTAAAAGTTTACCTAGACGAAAATATTTCCAGCTAATGAAAACATTGAAGCTGCAATTATTTATTTTTTGAGCAGAGGAGTTTCCCCTAACAATTCAACCGATTACAGATCAGGGGACTGAGGTCAAAGATTGGCAGCAACGAATGTCTTCTGTGCTGTGTGGACTTCCTGTTTCACCTTGTTGAGTTTTTAGTTCGATGGTTCAACAAGTATGCTTATGTGCAGGTATCATGGCAACATGCTAGTAATAATAGTAACAACAACAACAACAACAACAATAATAATATATTCGTACGTTTTTCCATTCAGATAGCTGTCTATGGGAAAAACTTCAATCACTCGGCAAAAGACGCCTGGGAACTGTTCCAGTCGACGGGTGTCGAGGCTCTCATAGCTTACGACTGTTCGGGTGCAGTTCTGTTCATGGGGACGGTTTTGGGTGGGCTCGTGTGCGGGACATGTGCTGCGGTTTGGACTAGGATTAGGCATCCGGACTGTGTTGCAATGGTCGGGAGTACGGCCATGTTAATGGGGATGATCTTGGTAAGGATCTCGAACTTAGTAGAGGAACTATACGATAGTCGCGGGATAGTTACAGAAAGTATCATTGATGTTTGATCGAATTACATTTACAGAGGAAGATATCTAATTTTCAAATCAGATAAAATGGGTTTTATTTTTGCCCGTCTTATATTTATCCCCTTTATAATTGAAAAAAAAAAAAAATTGAAAACATCGAGTCGAACTCTACATGTATCTTTTGTACGCTAATTGGTTTTCTTCTCCTTTTGGTAAGGTTGGGCTAGCAATGGTGGTTGTGGAAAGTGCAGTGACATCGATTTACATCTGTTATGCTGAAGACCCGGCATTAATAAACCGGTGGGACTCGGGTTTCTTTGCACAGATATCAGAAAAGCTGCACCAACGCCTGCAGCACAGAAGTGCCCGAGCCAGGGAAGTTTTAAGCAATAGAGTAGACAATCAGATACAAAATGCCGATATTGCTTGAATTCTTCTTCTTCTTCTTCTTCTTCTTCTTCTTCTTCTTCTTCTTCTTCTTCTTCTTCTTCTTCTTCTTCTTCTTCTTCTTCTTCTTCTTTTTTTTTTCC